TTATGCATACAAACAACAATATGTGTTGGCGAGGATGTGGGGGAAAGGGTACACTTATACACTGCCGGTGAGCTTGAAAATTGGTGCAGCCAATATGGAAAGCAGTATGGAGATTTTTTGGAAATTGGGAATGGAACCATCATCTGACCCAGCTAACTCTCTCCTCGGTCTATACCCAAAGGACTTAAAAACAGCATCCTACAGGGACACAGCTACATCAATGCCTATAGCAGCACAATTCACAATAGCTAAACCATAGAACCAACTATATGCCCTTTAATAGATGAATGGATAAAAAAATGTGACATATATACACAACGGAATATTACTCAGAAATAAAAGAGAATAAAATCATGGCATTTGCAGGTAAATGGATAGAGTTAGAGAAGATAATGCTAAATCAAGTTAGCCAATCCTCAAAAACCAAATGCCAAATGTTTTCTTTGATATAAGGAAGCTGATTCATAGTGGGGTAGTGAGGGGGAGCATAGGAGGAATAGACCAATTCTAGATAGGGCAGAGGGGATGGAGGGGAAGGGAGGGGGCATGGGGTATTTAATGATGGCAAAATGTGATGATCATTGCTATCCAAAGTACATGTATGAAGACACAAATTGGTGGGAATATACTATTTATACAGTCAGAGATATGAAAAAATATGCTCTATATATGTAATAAGAATTGTAATGTGTTCTGCTGTCATATACGCATTAAAAAAATTTACATTAAAGAAAGATTTAAAACTAGCTCATCTTAATCTTTAGGTCATGTTCTGAACCATCACATTTTAGAATTTGTAACCGTGAATCAAGTATGACATTCAAATGATTCCTCTCTTCTCTCTCAACTCTTTAGAGCATCAGCCCTTTCTTACCACCAACTGTCTAATCCCTCTTCTCTTCTAATCTGATTCTAATACTCAACCGTATCCAGTTAGTGTCTTGTATACCTTGTAAATTTTCCTTTTTAGGTGAAAATAATTCTCTGGTAATGAAAGAGCTCTTTATTCTCTCCTTCCTATACACTCTACCCCATCTTTTATATCAATTGATGGTATCCTTATTTTCAATATCTCAGTACCTTGTCAGCCTTCAAGGATGCAGTTTTCCAGAACAGATAATTCAGACAGCATTAGCCTTGACATTGTTTGGGGATGACATCTGTTCTGCTAAGTATCTCTGGTAAATCAATAAATATATTTTGTGCCATTCCTCAAAATATCATAGCTTTATTGGAAATTCCCAAATTTCTTTGCTTTTTTGCTTCTCACACCTATCTTTTAAGTTGTTTTTGTATTCCCATGTAAGTTTAAAAGTGGAAGCTCAAACTCAGGATTTAGTGTTCCTGAAACCAATTTACCTTTAAATTGTACTGTAAGTGACAAGGGCATTGCCATTTTTCACTTACCCAGCCTTTAAATAACAGAGTCCTCTTAACTCCATTTTTTTTCTTTTCTGATGTCTATTTAGCTACCATTTTCTGTGGTCAATCTTCACCAGATGTATTGCATCACCCCTCTCTGTATAGTTAATTATTATTACTTAATAAAAATATCTCATATCTTATAATTGTATGGGTGGAACAAACAGATGGTCCTTCTGCTGGAGCATTATTCACCTACTGTTAGCTAGTGGGTCAAAAACTCAGATGACTGGAATGGCTAGGGACAACCAGACCTCTTTACCTATCCGTTCATTCCAACTCTGCACACAGCACAATAGACTCTGATTTTCATAAGATTAAGCCCCATGAAAATCCTAGTAAAATTTTTTCTTGTTTCTTGTTGACTGACTTTTCACTCTATAAGGCAAATCACACATTGTGTAAATCAATCCCACAGATGATGTAGGAAGAGACTCCACATAGGTATGGCCACTGGAAATAGTTATTCATCGGGTAGCCCTAATTGCAACAATCTGCAATACTCTCCTAATTCTCATTCTTATTGCTATAATCCTAGTTCAGTTTTTCATGACTGCCTGTTTAATAATCTGCAGGACTTCTAGTGTTTCTGTCCCTGCTACCTGTGCCTTCTAATGCATCTGTTATACTTAAAAATTCTAATCAAGTTCCTTTCCTGTCTAAAGCAAACAAACAGTACCTTCATATAGGCTTCCAAGAAAAGTGTTTTCTTCTTCTGACTTTGAGCATTCTCAATACATCTTTACCACCTTGATGTCCATGGTTCTCCTACACCTCAACTTATGGTTTTAAAGCATTACTTTCCTCCTTGTCCTTACTCACATTTTATAATTCTATTTTTCTTACTAAAATAGAATTTTATCTGATATTTTTTTCATTAAATTCAAAACCATTCTTCGAATCAATTTCATCTTCTCCTGTTCATGTCAGAAATTACTTTTTGTGTCAATAAAATCTTAACACACTTTACTCATGACTCTCTTACCACAATGATCTCACCCTTCACTTTACTATGGTAGGCTTTTGTGTGTGGCTGTATCCCTTCTCATACTTAACCTCTAGAATAACTCTATTAGAATCTGACATATCACATATATAATTTAACATTTTTAATGACCATTTGTAAAGAAGCAAAAAATGTACTGAGGTTATTCATGTTAATAATAGATTTTACTTATATTAATGTCTCTCAGAATATTATTTCAACAAGTAAAAAATTATTGATTTTTATGTTCTGGTTTTATATTAACTCTGAAATACAAGTATATTTTATACTTACATCATATCTCTGCTCAAATTAGCAACATTTCAATGCTCCATAATTCTTGCTGGTGGCTTCTACAGTGAACATCCCAACTTCAGAAATACGGAAGAAATACTGATGTAACACAGAAAATGTCACTTCATAGTCAGACCTGTTATCATATTTTGCCCTTGTCACTTGCTACAGAAGTTTGGACAATTTGCTCAGTCTCTCTAGGCCTTAGTTTCTTCATGTATATGAAACTTTTGGAAACACACAATTTCTGACATTATGTTCATTTATTCATAAGATGAAGACATAACCAACCCATAATAACCCCAATGTCTTGCACAATACTTGTAACTTAGGAGTATATGTTAGATAGCCATATATTGAGCACATTAGACATACTAATCATTTGCTAGGTTCTAGGACCATTACATATGATGTCTGCCTTTTAAAAGCTTGGTGCAGAATGGTGAACATATAAATATTTAATTATTTATAACACATTTACTATATAAATGATATTTAAGAAGTTGAAAAGCTGTGACACAGAAGAGGAGTTATAAACTATGCCTAGGAATATGAGTGTAGGCTTTATAAAAAATGTTGCTTCAACTCAATATATGCCAGGTACACAACAATGGTGGAAGAGGATCATAGGAAGAATACCAGGAGGTATGAACTTACATGTAAAACACACGGAACTTTGATTGTCCACATGGTTGGTCCCAGGAAAGACCAAAAGGAGAGTGCGGTGAATACTAGAGAAATAATTAGGTAATAATTGGAATAACAACTCTTCCCCAGAGATAGTACTTCCTCATTTTCCCTCATCTTGATAAATGATATCATTGCCAAATATCTATATCTTTAGTGTCTGCATTTCATAATTCTTTAGATTTTATATACCAATAAACCTGTTGCCTCTCACCTTTGAAACATCCTGTCTATGCCCTAGTCAAAGTTACCTACCTCTTTCCTGGACTACTATAAAAAGCCTCTAACTTATCTTCCTTTTTTCATTCTTATACTCCAATTTCTGATTTCCTCCAAGAGGCAATGATGATTTCCTTTTAAAGTACAGCATGCTCTTTCACCACTCTTTACAGCATCACTAGCTCTGTTTCTTGATTCATTCTAAGATATGACCTACCTATCTATCTTCAATTCATTTGCTTTTCCATTTATCACACATGCTTTAGCCTTGCTAACTTAAAAAAGAAAAAGTTTCTCGAGTATTCCAAGATTTATTCACCCAGGAGTTTTTGCTTTCTCCTCTGTCTAGATTGGTCTTTTCCTTGTCTTCAACTGACTACTTATTTTTAATTCTTTAATTCACAGCTAAAATCACTCCCTCAAGTAATGTTTCACTGACCATCCAGTCTGAAATACTCTGATAATGATGTTACCCTCTATTTTATTATGCTGTTACTTCATAGTAGTTTTTATAGAAATCTGAAATTATTTATCATCATTGTTATTCTCATTACCGATATTGTATTTACTTGCATATTTTATTTTTCTTCCACTAGAATGTAAGTTCTCTTGGAATAGAAAAATGACTGTCTTGCTCATCATTATATCCCTTATATCATCCTTAATACTTGGCAAAGGAGAACACTCAATCCTTTTTGAAAGGATGGATAACATTTTCCCACCTATACATTAATTAAAGAGGAAAAGGATGTGCATTCATTGATTTAGTGTTTTATTAGACATAAAAGATATTTGGCTATGGGGATAAAATCATAACCACCACAAATTCTGCTATTCCATCACAAATCCTACTATTCTAGCACAAAATCTACTCTCTAGCCATGTTATTAAGCACTTGAATTGATGGGAATGCAGAAGTGTAAATAAATAAAAATTGGTGTGTGGGAAGGAGGACAAGAAAATTAATGTCTTGTTTCTTTTTGGAAATTGAAATATTACAAACATTGCAGATAAATAGTTCAAACAACATTTTGAGTATAAGTTGAGTTGTGTCTAATTGTAACTTTCTATTAGTGAAGCACATCAGAAATAAGATCTACTTCTAGGTAAATAATACATGAATGAGGACTGTTTACATATGTCACATGCCAGATATTTGAAAAGACTAATATTCCTTTAATAAAAACAACATTAAGTTCTAAAAGGTCATTTAAGATCATTTTCTTGAGAGAGTTTATGAATGTTCTTCACCTGTTGATTTAACATTATTATTAATAGTCTTATTCACATTCAGTGTTTTTACTCTAAATATTTTTTCATCTTAACATTTACTTTGTCAAATGTGTTCTTTTACAGGAATATATATAGTTGCTGGAAAGAACAGTGGCAGCTTCAGAGCAAAATGAAGTTCTTTGTGCTGCTTTCAGCCCTTGGGCTCTGTTGGGCTCAGTATTCCCCAAACACTCAACAGGGAAGGACCTCTATGGTCCACTTGTTTGAGTGGCGCTGGGTTGATATTGCTCAGGAATGTGAGCGATACTTAGCTCCCAATGGATTTGGAGGAGTTCAGGTAAGGATTGTTCACATCATAAATTGCAACATTTACTTGATTTTATGATAAATGATATAGTAAAATGGCAATCCGTTTCTGTGAATCTGAGATAATATTTTACTTCTCATATAAGCCCTCTGAAACAGTTTTCTGAGGAAGAAAAAATTTAGTATTGGTGGCAACTTTATATTTTGTTTCAGGATAACAGCAGGACATCTTTAATGGGCTGTTAATATTTTAGAGTGGTTATAAAGTAATGTAGCTGCATGTACAAAGATTCAGCAATAACTTTAGGTTATTAATTTGTTTTAGAGGTTTTAATGATATAAAATAATCTATAATTTAATACTTATTAAGTTTGCTTTCTTTGTAGATCTCACCACCCAATGAAAATATTGTTGTTAACAACCCTTCAAGACCTTGGTGGGAAAGATACCAACCAATTAGCTATAAAATATGCACAAGATCTGGAAATGAAGATGAGTTCAGAGACATGGTGTCTAGGTGTAACAATGTTGGTGTAAGTGAATTTAAGTTTCCATTAAATATTATATAGGAAGATAATTTCTTCTTTTTTTTCTCTCTTGAGCAGTAAGTTTTTGGGACTTGATTTTTTAAAATTTAACTTCATACTTGAGCAGTAACTCAAAATGAACTATTGCTATATGTTCAACCTTTATAAATACTTATAAATGTGCCATTTATCTACTAAAGAAAAGACCTTTTAAAGTTTAAAGAAGAGTTTACTTGTAAAGCAAGGCATCAACTCTAACCCTTATAACGAAATACATTTCTTATTAAGTATTAGAATTCCCAATTATAATAATTGCTGTAAATTTTATGTGATTTATCTACAAGTAAATTCCTGAGCACTCTTCTCCATCTTTTTTTAAATAATGAATAGCCATTTTCTCTTTATAGTGAGGAGTGTAATGATAGGCAATATCTATCTTCCTTTCTGCAGATACTAAGCAGAGAGTAAAGGCTAATTTTTTTCTTTTTCCTTGTGATCCACTGAAATTTCAAAAATTAATAATTTTTTCTGTCTCAACTGATTCTTATCTCCTCAAAAATGACTTTCTTAATAATTATCATAGTTTCCGCTTTTCTCAATTCATCATTTTTGTAAATGTATGACCAGACAACTAGAATGGATATCACTCTTCATTTCACATTAGTTTCCTTTCATACTTCACTTTTTAGTCTTATTGGGAAAAGAAGTTATACAATAATAAAGAAATATTTTAGATTTTAATGAATACTCTGTAAAGTTTAATCAATAATGTTTCAGATTTTTACTTAAAAAAAAAAAAAAACTGAAGTAAACCCTTTGCTTTTCAGGTCCGAATTTATGTGGATGCTGTAATTAATCATATGTGTGGTGAAGGGGGAGGTGCAGGAACAAGCAGTACTTGTGGAAGTTACTTCAATGCTGGAAATAGGGAGTTTCCAGCAGTCCCATACTCTGGTTGGGATTTTAATGATGGTAAATGTAAAACCTCAAGTGGCGGCATTGAGAGCTATAATGATGCTTATCAGGTAATTTTCTTTTTTAAATAATAATCTGAATAAAGAACTACCCATGCCTTTAATTATGCACATGTAACTTACTTGAACACTGATTTTAAACACTAGTTTAGATTCCTATGTAAAATAAGTAACCATGACTGCATAAAAATGAAAAAACTCAATAATCGAAAGCATTCTGCAGTCATGATACTCGGTATAGAACTCAGTGACAGAATACTTGCCTGGCATGTGTAAGGCACTGGGTTCACTCCTCAATCCCAGAAGGATAAATAAATAAATAAATTCCTCCAATCAACTAAAAAGCTCATCTACTCATTTTCTACTTTCTCCATTTTTATGCTAAAAAATATTTCAAAGTATATCCACAGAATAATGCCAATATTCCCAATGCCTAATTTAAAAAATGAATTATGGAAATATCTGTTGATGAATAAATGAATGAATAAATGATCAAACAGATTCTCAGGTCAAAGATGATATTTTAAAAAAACACAAAATTTTTACCTCAACAGGTCAGAGATTGTCGTCTGGATGGTCTTCTTGATCTTGCCCTGGAGAAAGATTATGTGCGCACCCAAATTGCCAATTATATGAACCATCTCATTGATATTGGTGTAGCAGGGTTCAGACTGGATGCTTCTAAGCACATGTGGCCTGGAGACATAAAGGCAATTTTGGATAAACTACATAATCTAAACACAAACTGGTTCCCTGGAGGAAGCAGGCCTTTCATTTTCCAGGAGGTACATTCATCTATATATGTGCATAAAAACTGTATCATTTCATTCACTAGAAAATAAATGGCAGATTTAATTCAATAAGAAATTTCTGTAGGTTAATGGCTAAGTCATTAATATACTGTAGCATTCTTAAAAAATTTTATTCATAAATAACACATTTAATTCTATCAAAGTTTGTTATTTGAAACTACAGGAAATTTGATTAGGCTACAAATCCCTGATATTTATTACATTGCAGAGACCATTATACAAGACCAAAAATAAAATAGTTGTTGCCTAAGCCATTCTGAGTTTGGGTCTTTACTATACCACTATTGGCTGTCTAAGTTTTTATTCAAATTAATTTTCCTTTCTGTGAAAAAATATTTTTTATGTAAAGAAAAGGACTAATGATAAAGTTTATGTTTTTGTTCTCTTTGGAAAATTAATTAGTAATTAATGAATTATTAATTATCAAGCATTAATAAATATCGATAAGGAAGTAAGTTCTATGATAGTGTGAGCTATTGTTTTTATAATTTATGTGCAAGACTAAATGAGATCAAGATTTTCACAGGTTACCTTGTCAAGAGATTTCTTTCAATATTGTGACATATATTTTATCAAAACAAAATAAGAATATCAATATGATGAAAGCAGTTTTAAGTATTTCAAATAACATAATGTTTTAAAGCTATTTTTATATTAATTTTTTCATTAAAATACTTTAAAATTTTTTTACATTAAAATGATATATTGCACTATATTTCTACCAGGTGATTGATCTGGGTGGTGAGGCAATTACAAGTAGTGAGTACTTTGGAAATGGCCGTGTGACAGAATTCAAGTATGGTGCAAAACTGGGCACAGTTATTCGCAGGTGGAATGGAGAGAAAATGGCTTACTTAAAGTAAATATAATTTGTCATTTATAGTACTTTACAGATCTATTTGTCATACTACTCCTCTATGAGTTATCATCTTAGAACCTTCTTAGATAATCAAGAAGTAGATTATTAATAAATGTTATTCTTCCTCAAACCACAATTAATCATCTTTTTAATTTAGAATTATCAGTCTCCAGGATGTATTCTGGAAACCAAAACATCACCTAAATATTTTCATCTATTATTTTAATACACTGGATTTGAGTAATGTTTCTTTATAATCTATTAAAACTAAGTTATTTTTAAGAGGATGCTACCATTTATGAAGTGCCTACAATTTGGCCATAACTATGGAATAAGTATGCATTTTCTCAACTCTTTAATTTGAAACATTAAGGTGTTCATTCTTAAGGAATACAGTGTTGAAGCCTCATTTTAACCAAGTTTGTCTTTCTCTATAATGTGATATGAATATTAACCTTCAGAAATCCACATAGAATTCATATACTGAAAACTTTAAAAGAAACTTTTGTATGACAAAAATCTTATATATGAATGGATACAAGCAATCCTACATATATATATATATATATATATAAACACAGAATGAATTTATAGATTTGTTAATCTATAAAAACCCTAAATTCTATGGAATAATTAATTAGAGAATTTATCTAAGGATGCTACATAAAAAGAGATGCAGATTTAGATTACCATAAACCTATTGTAAAAGAATAAAAATATTTATTTTTTTTAATAGGAACTGGGGAGAAGGTTGGGGTTTCATGCCCTCAGACAGAGCTCTAGTCTTTGTGGATAACCATGACAACCAACGAGGACATGGAGCTGGAGGATCATCCATTCTTACCTTCTGGGATGCAAGGTAGGAAAAAAACTCACCTTTTAATGAGAGTAATAATATTCTATTCTTCGATTGTAATATATTTTTATAATTTTCAGGCTGTATAAAATGGCAGTTGGATTTATGCTTGCTCATCCTTATGGATTTACACGAGTAATGTCAAGCTACCGTTGGCCAAGATATTTTGTGAATGGACAAGTAAGTTTTGAATTTGTTCAAAATATCTTTTTTTCAAGAAAGAAGTAGGTAATTTTCTTTTAATTTCTCATGAGTTTGTTGCATTCAATATTTATCATCAAGTATTTATTTAAATGGAAACATAATGCTGATCTCTGATTTTTGTAATGGAAAGGATATTAAATACATAAAATTTATGTTCTCTTTTTTCAAAGAGTATGAAAACTGTTCAGTAATAGGACAGATATCCACACACGAAGAAAAGAAACTTATGAAAAAGAACAAGTTACAGGGTATAAAGTATATACTTATCATAAGTACCCAATTTCATAGAGTTGATATGAGGATTACACATGCTAAAACTTATCAAGAACTTAAATCAGTTCCTGCTTTTATTATAAGAAATGAATACTATGAAAATATTTTTTTATAAAAGTTTTATGGTGTGCAAAGAAATGGTTCAGCTGAGCTGAAGTTAAATGAGGAAAATATCTTAAAAGTTGAATGAAATGATATACATTACAGAATTAAAAAATTCCAGACCACTTCAGGATAAGTATGAGAAAAATATCAGGGATATGGTAAAAACATTAATCCAAATATCAATTTCAAAACTGAACTGAGAAGTAAATTATGAAGATGCTTTAAAAGTTAAGTGAAGGTTTTCTTTTTAAACTAAAGATTTCAGAAGTAGCATCATTAAAGAGACTTCATATCTAAAATCAATCCCTTCTGTATAATTCAGACAGATGCCTAGAGAAACAGAGTTTACAGAGATTCTAAAAATTCAGTAAAGGTCTATAAAAATTGTATACATGATGTATTCTAAATAAAGACACTGCAGAGACAAATAGCAGGACCAATTAATTGAGTTTAGTATAATGAAGGAAGTGAAAGATAGATGTGTGTGTGTTAAAAATCTGTTTTTGTTTAAATTAAGGATGTTAATGATTGGGTTGGACCACCAAATAATAATGGAGTGACTAAAGAAGTAACTATTAATCCAGACACTACTTGTGGCAATGACTGGGTCTGTGAACATCGATGGCGCCAAATAAGGTAAGAGTAATACATATCCTCTAACATTTTCCTTAACATTTTACTTTAAACTGTTTGAGTTTAAGAATAGCAACATTTTATATGATACTATGCTTTTAGAAACATGGTTATTTTCCGAAATGTGGTTGATGGCCAGCCTTTTCAAAACTGGTGGGATAATGGTAGCAACCAAGTGGCTTTTGGAAGAGGAAACAAAGGATTCATTGTCTTTAATAATGATGACTGGTAAGTAGATATCAATTTTAAATAATTTTTACACTGTTAAGTTCTAGTTTTATTCTATTCCTGTTCATTGACTTTTTTCATATCTTCAAAATCCTTTAAGTCAGGGAATTAAGAAAATAAGAAATCAGAAAAGTAAAGAAGAAAAATGATGATGGCATTTATTTCACCCCCTATTTTTATAAGGGTCTTTTTTTTAACTTGAGCTTTCTTATGCATCCATGCAATATTGTTTACTGAATATTATGCATATTATGCTAATATTACATGAGCCAGTAAATATACCAACAGTTATTTTAAGGGTGGCAAAATCTCTAAAAGAACATGGCTTTCAATCTCAATCTTAGTATTGGAATATTTTTTTTAGCTTTGTATCTCAACTACTCCACTATCTGCTCCTTTGCTATACATTCTTCACTTCCTACCTCTCAGGGACAAGTACTACTTTAAAGTGTATGTGTTAGAAATGTATCTTATGGCCAATGATATTCCCACTAGATTTTTTTAGTTTTACTTCTAAAGCTTCTCATTGCTGTCCTTTCTTTAGTGATACTGATAGCCTATTCTTGTAGTCTAATGAGTCTTTCATATGGAGAACTACAGACAGAAGAACTCTGCCAGCTTTGGAGTGTCTCAGTCCCAGCCCAACTTCTGCTCATGTTTAGCTCAGGTTAGGCTAAAATTACATTTTATTGGCCAAAAATAAATAAGTAAGTAATGTATCTTTTTTTTTTTCCAAAAGAGCCTATGGCTAGTTCTTTAATTTCTGTGTTTTCCGGATAGAAGAACGGAAATAAATTTATACAAGATAGTTTCTATTCCAAGCTATATAATTCTTCATAAAAGTGCTAAAATATTTTTACTTCTATTTCTAATTATTTTTGGCCTCTACAAAAAATATTTTTTGAAGAAAAATTCCAATTTTAGTTCTTTAAAGCAATCAGTATTTTTACAAATTCACAAAAAGACAAATTGAAAATATTTTTTTTTTTACCACAGGGAGTATTTTTATCTAAGGGTAGCAATTCCTGTAGATCTTCACTGCTATTCTTCAACCTTTATGGTCTGGTAATAGTCACCACTGACTAAGAATGGGTAGGTGTTCTGTATGTTTACATTGTACTGAGAGTGCTGTTGACATCCACTGGAAAGGTCTCTGTGTTTCCATTTTCTTCTTATTGAGACCTTGACTGCTTAAAATTCTATGGCACAAAATTAAGCTGTTTATTTACTTTAGAGAGATTCTGAATTCTTATATTTGACAGTAATGAATTTAAGTTAAATAGCAAATTTTGTTTTATAGGTCATTGTCAACAACTTTGCAAACTGGTCTTCCTGGTGGCACATATTGTGATGTCATTTCTGGAGATAAAATTAATGGAGATTGCACAGGAATTAAAGTCTATGTTTCCAGTGATGGCAAGGCTCAGTTTTCTATTAGTACCTCTGCTGAAGACCCATTCATTGCAATTCATGCTGATTCAAAGTTGTAAAATTTAAATTAAATGCATATACACAGCATTATCAAGTGTCTTTTTATTGTAAATACATTCATTTCCATAATCCTTTAAATTTTATTATAAGATGTATGTCGTCAACTTGAAAAGGTCAAGTATTAAAAAATAGCATTACTCATATGTATAATTATAAGAAAACAACAGGCAAAGTGTTATTGTTTTAGAAGACACACTTTAACCTACCTGTCAAGGGAATTTATAAGAACTCAGAAAGGCATTTTGACAAATATATTTATTGTCATTGACACCATTTGTCCACTATGTATCTCTTATTTCTGAGATATAGTCTGAAAGTCTGTCTACGATTTAGAGATATACTCTGAAATTCTGTCTGTAATTGTCTCACAAAGTCTTTCTGCCAATTAGAAAGAACTGGTTTAATGGTGATTCACATACTGAGATAGCTCAATTGGATGGTTTTCACAATACTGAAGTGTTTTTATAATTTGCAGAGTTAAAAATAGAAGAGACTGGGGCTGTGTGGCTCAGTGATAGAAAACTTGCCGAGCATGTGTGAGGCACTGGGTTCATTTCTCAGCATCACGTATAAATAAATGAATAAACTAAAGGTCCACCAACATATAAAAAATAGTTTTAAAAATAGAAGGGACTTCAATTATGCAGTCTATAATTTTTAATATTATTGAGCCCACAAGAATATTCTACTCCTTTCCCTATAGTCTTGTCTCTAATTGTCTTTTTTTGATTGTTTTTTAAGCTGTAGTTGGACACAATGCCTTTTTATTTTACTTATGTATTTTCATGTGGTGCTGAGGATCAAACCCATCACCTGGCAAATACTAGGCGAGCTCTGTACCACTGAGTCACAATCCCTGCCTGCCTTTCATTTTCTTTCAGTGGTTTTGACTTGCTGTCATATGGCTTTTCATTCTTGCTCTAATCTCTAACATGGATGTTCAGTTAAGGCTTTCATGTCACTATATTCTCCAGATTTTCTTTATAATCCTACTTTAGTCCTCCTTCCAACCACATGGTCCTCCACCATACAATCAAGGTGATTTTCAAATTGGAAAACCATCACCATCACCACTACAATGTTTTCAAATCTCATTAATGGATTTCTTACCTTCCATAGGATAAAAGGCCAAAAGTCTAACTAGATTATTAAGTCTGCATTTGAAGCCTCACCTCAAAATATTTCTTCTCTTTAGTGTCTGTTTTTTTAACAAAGCTAACCTTTTAGTTATTTGAAATTAACAAACCTCACTTAGCTTCTTAAGTTCAATACAAGAAACATTCTAGGTCAGGGCTGATGGCGCACACCTGTAATTCCAGTGGTGTGGGAGGCAGAGGAAGGGGATTAGGAGTTCAAAGCCAGCCCTAGCAAAAGCGAGGTGCTAAGCAACTCATTGAGACCTGTCACTAAATAAAATACAAAATAGGTCTGGGTTGTGGCTCAGTGGCCAAGTGCTCCTGGGTTCAATCCCAGTACCCAACCCCTTGCAAAAAAAAATTATTTTCCTTCTACTTGGGATATTCTTTACCTCTTCTCCCAATAAACTTCTGTTCATCCTTCATTCTTGGTTCAATGGCTGACCTATGGATTAGGTCAGATCCCCTGATTTCTTTCATGACTGCCCATATCATCCTTCTTATTACTCATTAGTACATTAGAAAATGTCTCTTTTGCTCTTTATTGAATCCTTAATCTCAGTATAGAATCCAGAACATATTATGTATGAATTCAATAAGTATTTGTAAAATGAATTGATATATTGATTTGCTTAGTACCTTGCTTTTGCTGAGGCTGGCTTTGAACTTGTGATCCTCTTGCTTCAGCCTCCTGAGTTACTGGGATTACAGGCATGTGCCACCACGTCCAGCTCAATTTTTCTTTTTAAGAAACTAAAAATGGAAGACTAAATTAAATCCCCAGAGCAAGTAGAAGGGAAAAATAAAATAAAACTTGAGTCACTGAACTTAAACATGGAAGAGTAAGGGAAAATAAATTGTGTAAACAACAGCTAATTCCAGTAAAAGACTAGAAAATTGAAAAAGTTATTGCTAGATTACCAAGAAAAGATGAATGACAAATGTCAAGAATAGAAGGTAATCATTGATGAAAGCTATCATTAAATCCCCAAATTCTAAGAAGGTACTAATGGAATATTTTAAACAATTTATCTCCACAAATTTGATGAAAAGAACAATTTCATGAAGGTCACAAACTCCTTCTATTTAAAAAGTAGGTTACCTGAATCCTATGTATGTTTAAGAAATTTACTTAGTAGATAAGTTTTCACATAAGGAAAACTCAATAGTTTTCCCATATTGTTTCACTGGTGAATTCAGCCAAACATTAAAGGAAGAAAGTACACTATGAATCCAGCATATAAGACTGTTCAAGAAAACTACAAATTACTACTTTTAATGAATATGGGAAATTTTATTTTGTCAAGTGGGATTTATCTTGGGAAATGTTGACTATTTGAGCCTTTGAAAATCATTGAAATCACGTATAACAACAAAGAAAAAGCATATGATCATCTTAATTAGGGAACAAGAGATGATATTTGACAAGATTAAGTATCCTCTTATAACAAAAACTTAGGAAACCAGAAATGAAACAGACTCTTAAACTACCAGTGTCTATAGAACTTATATCTATGTTGATGGCAAAATACTGAATAATGAAAGTCTTTTTCCTAAGGTTGTAAACGAGGAAAGAAGGTACAAACTCTAGATGACTATTGAGCCTATAACTGGCAGTATGGCCAGTGAAATTAAAAAAGAAAAAAAAGTATAAAAATTAATAATGAAATAAAGTTGTTCTTAGAGATGGCATGGTTTTGGATGTAACAAATACCTAAAAATTAGCAAAGTGGCTCCTACAAACAATAAATGAGTTAAGGTAAATATGAAAAAATCAATTGTACTATATATTTTCAAAAACAACTAGAAATTTAATTTCCTTTTTAATATTACTTTTCATAATGCCAAATGTAAGAAAGAATTGGGTGTGTATCACTGAAATATGTGCTAGGCCTGAATGTTGGAAAATCTTTGCCAATTTTTATGGAAATATGTATACCCTATATGGGTAAGAAGATTTGTTAAGATGTCCACTCTTCCCCCTCTTGGTTCATTCTCTTAAAAAATCCCTGCAGGATATTTTGTTGATGTTGCCAGGTTAACTCAGATTTGTTTGGTTTAAAGGCAACAGAACTAGCAGAACCACCAGGTTTGAAAACACATACAAAACCGGATGGCTTATATTACAAATCCCAAAACTTATTTCAAAGCTACTCAAGATAGTGTGATATTGACAAAATAAAAGACATAAATCATTGAAACAGAAAAGATCAGCAATGGGCTCACACACAGCCAATTAAATTTTGACAGAGTGAGTAACCAATTCAGTGGAGAAAAGATAGTTTTTTTCAACATATAAGAGAAATATTTGACACCTGTATGAAATAAAAAGGACCTCAACACATTTCTCTCACTTTACAAAAAAGTGTATTCAGAATGGGTCATAGACCTAAATGTAAAATGTGAACTCTAAAGTCCCTGTGACCATAGGTCAGCAAGGAGTTCTTACATGCAACACCAAATATTGGGTCCATTATTTTTAAATGACAAAAGATACAGAGGATTTCATCAAATAAAAATATTTTGCTTTTTAAAAGACAGTAAAATTTTAAAAAGACAGAGCATGGGGACTGGGGTTGTGGCTCAGTGGTAGAGTGCCCGCCTAGCATGTGTGAGGTGCTGGGTTTGATCCTCAGCATCATATATGAATAAATAGAAAGTAAAGGTATTGTATCCACCTACAAGTATACATACACACACACACACACACACATATATACACACACACACACATACATATATATTGTTTTAAGTCAGGGCCTGGGAGAAAATTTTTACAACCATGTATTTGATGAAGATTATATCCAGAATATAAAAAGAAATCTCAAAACTAATAAAAGAAATCTCACATTCTCAAAATGGATAATGGGCTGAAGCTGTGGCTCAGTGTTTGAGTGCTTGCCTAGCATGTGTGAGGCACTGGATTCAATCCTCAGCACCACACAAAAGTAAATAAACAAAGGTATTTTTAAAAAATGGACAAATAATTTGAATAGGCACTTTGCCCAAGATTTACAAATGGCAAATAATTAAGTGAAAAGTTACTCACCATCATTCTACTATAAACGAATGTAAAATATAGCTACAATAACACCAACACACTTAGAATAGCCTGAAAAATTCTAACAATAGCAAGAATTATCAAGTAGTACATCTATAACCAGATAGCTTGTAGTCATGCAAAATGGATAGCTACATAGCAAAACACTTTGGGGCAGTTTCTTCTAAAGTTAAACATTTAAATGTGACTCAATTATTGAGAAGTATCCAAAAAAAGCTGCTCACACAAAAATGTATATGTAAATGCAGTGTTTTATTCATCCTTCACAATGGAAACCCAGGTATTTTTCAACTATTGTAGTACATCTGTATAAAGTATTGATGACTGCTATGTGAAACAATATGACTTTGTCTTAAGTACATCGTATTAGGTATAAGAAGCCAAACTCAAAAAAGTTACATAGTGTGACGACATTGTCATGCAATTTTGTAAAGGTAACTTGTATGACAGAAAATAACTGGCTGCCAGATGTCAGATGTGATTGAGTAATTTGACTACAGAGGATCATGGGAATTTGGTGGCATAATAGAAATATTCAGATTGTGATTATTACTATGCACTATGTCTAAAACTTGTGGATCTGTATACATTGCACAAAGAATTTCACTGTATACAAAAAAACACTGCATTTAATGAAAAGAAAGTCCACCACCTTATCACTTATCCACTTGAAATAAGTAGGACAGAACTTCTATTGATAAAATTAAGCTCTGATCTACTTTAGTTATCTTTGGCATGAAATATGCTATTATTTAACATTAAACATGCTATTTTCTCCTTTAAAATTATGAAGGAATTTATTTTTTTAAGTGAAT